CGGCGGGTGAATCCCCACGACCCAAGCCACTCATGAAGAGCACTCAGACCTTCGAAGCCAAGAATGGAGAGAACATCCTGCTCTAGGTGAGAGTGGCCGAGATGACTACAGCATCCGCCATGCTCCAGAATATGTAACAGTGCGTGGCGCTAGCGATCTCCAAGCTCGGGGTTCGAGCGCGAGAATGGGCACCGACCTGCGGTATCTTGGTCGATGCGGTGTTTTCCTCCTGGATGTAACTGAAGCTGCAGCTTTTACGAGTGTTCTCGTCTTCTTACCAGGCATATTCTGTGCGATCGCATTTCCTTGCCGCCCGACAGGACTAGAAATAAGTGGTGGACTATGTCCAAGCGTGAAGACCTCTTTTTATCGGTATGGCAGCCGATCATCTCCCAAAGGGGGTCACAGTGACCGTCTATATGAAGGGCCTACGCTCTGGCGTGGCCAGAATGGAAGTCTTCCGTGTGCACTCGTCTTCTTTTGAAGAAGTAGTGAATGTAGCATAGAAAATTCAACTTTAAATCGGCTCGACTTGGTTGGAATGCACACCCTCAGAGCTCGTCGAGCGGGCCTGAGCCAATGGATCTCTACAATGCTGAGGAAGTGGAGGAAGAGATTCGAGCTGTTGAGTAGCGTTCGAACACCCGACGGTGTTTTTTTTGTGGAGGCACCCGTCACTTTTGAACAAGTTGTCCCCTGCGCAAGGTGCGTCAAGGTTCATCGAACCGACAGCCCGCTTCTGACCAATCATCTGGTATATCACGGGGAAACGACAACACCCAGCAGGCGCGGGTCGGTACTGCGGAAGCATTGAGCTCCCTTGAGCCCCAAAGAGAAAGAGGTCAGCAGAACACAAACCCGAAGAGCTCCGGGCTCCTTACCACGGTACAAATATTCATGCCTGGCTTGCTGGTCGTGGAAGCGATATTGAATGGCTTTGATAGGCCACGGAAGATCATGATTGCCTGCGGGCGTCAGGTAATTATGCTCGACGCTCGTTGATGGAATGAAATCAGCTGCATGCTGAGGCGCTGAAGGCGCGGTGGAGTGATATCGTCACTGTTCGCTAAGCGACGGGGAAATGTGTCAGGGTGCAGAAGGTCCTTGTGGACTTCGGTGTCAAGTTTCTTGACTTTGATAGCGTGGAACGCTGCTTAGTCTTAGACTTGAATTCAAGGTATGATTTCATCGTTGGTATGGCATAGTTGGAACACCATGAGCAATGAATCGACTGGCGGTCCTTGGCGCTACGCCCGCTTCTCCTGGTGGAGCTTTGGTGTGTCCTGAACCCACCTTTTCTATGAGGCAGAAACACTATTGGAGTGTAAATTAGACCGAGACGGTCAATGAGCAAGACATCGGAGTATTCCGAGATGGTGAACACCGAAGGTGTATCGAACAGGAGTCCCGAGCATGGCTCGAGGGCTGAACGTGGAGTGCCACGATACCAACTGAGCGCTGCTCAAGCATCAGAGCAGTCGCTGCATGCTATGCGTGGCATGGTCGGCCAAGGGCCGAGGCATCGAGGGCGAGGTCCCACTGATACGCGTGAAGTGGCAGGTAATCCACTGAGCACTGCTCACGTTTTATAGCAGTCGCTGCATGCCGAGATTGGCATGGTCGGACGAGATCCGAGGGATCTTGGGCAAGGCCTTCAGATGACTTCCCCCGTCCCAAGCCATCTCATGGTGAGCGTTAAGGTTCTTGAGGGGAAGGAAGGATTGTCAAGTTCAAAGTGTAATGTGAATTTCATCTTATACAATTGTACTAAATATGTAAAGGATTACCGTAATAGAAAGATTTTATAATTAAATATGGCGAAGGATGATGTGAAGAGTAGCTCACAGAAGAGCAAGCAGCGGCTGCTACATATGGTTTTGCTAATACTACGCTGCCGCAAAGCGTGAAGATCTTCACGGTAAGAAAAGTTTGACGGAGCACTCACTCAGGGAATAGATCATGCATGTCACCAGATGCTTTTTTCTCAAAATTTTAAGCTAAGTTGGTGATAACGCATTAGCTTTTTATCATCGTGACTCGTCTTGGCGTACAATTATCGCTGCTTACTGGTACTGGTCCGAGCATGAGCAAATTCAGGCAAATTTAAGCGGCAAGTTTTACTTTTTATTGGATCGTCTTGTCAGACGAGGACCGCAATCATGATGAACCTGATTCTCTTTTTAAAAGTTCTAAGGGAACGCTGATCGCTAACCAGCAGTTCGAAGTCTCATATATAACAGTCTCAAACGTGTCTGAGTGGTTATATCCCATTATCTGTGATTTACATATCATGGTGCCAGACTGACGTTGTTGGCGCAACCAGTATCATACTCTGCAAATTTAATCAGCACTGCTCTCCGTGGAGAAAGTGTTACACAACAGAATTCAGGCCACTATCGTATGTGATGATGCCAGGTTTGCGATTGTTCTACCTCTCTTCGTCTTTGAAATATACAGTGCAGATGACGCGTTGTTGCACGAGCACCCCTAAAACGAGCTACCAGCATTTTTATACTTTGACCCAATATCGATTTTCTCACCTGCGTACTTAGCAAACTGGATATAGAAAACTTAAATACACGACAAATTTTCAAGTTCAATTCCTTGCACTTCACGCTAAGAAGTCATTAAAAATTACTGATCTCTTCCGTTCCAGACTCAACGGATGCCATATAATGCTCAGTTGTGTTTTTCCAAAACTGAAACGCAACGGACGCAAGACACGTCTATGTGGTTCAAGTAGATCAGCGTGTACGTGATAAAAAGCGCGGCACATAGGGCTTAAAGCGTTTGTACCAGAAAGCACACACCTCACAAAGACTTGACTTGTGGGTGTGGTCAGTCAGTGCTGAATTAGAACCGGAGCAATTTGCACAGCAAAGCAGTGGCGTCGACAGCAATGCAAGCGTCAAACTTCTCGCCACACAAGTAGCATGAGTTGTAGATCCCATCCGTTGCCCATGCCGGCGAATTGCAGAGGCGCCGATAATACTGAAATAGCGAGATGCATCGAAGTCTGGTGAATCACTCTATTTGGCTGAGCGTTCTTTGACCAATAATCGACCACATAAAACGCTGCTGACATTGTACGACACGCCGAAAGCGTGTTGAAAGGTTTAAACTGTTTCAGGTACGTTAAAGCGGACAGTGGCACATAACTTTGTACTTGGGCGCTAGGATTTGGCAGATTCCACTTGTAGCGATGAAGAATCATTCGGCTGGTGCAGGCAACACCGCGCTGTTAGCTTTCGCAGGCTGAATATCGTCGTTTGACCAGTTAATAGGCCCACACTTCGATACCACTATCGGTGAGATCTTCAAAGCTGGATTTATTCGTCATTTGCATTAGACTTGCTCTGACCAGAATCGCCACAGTCCGCGTGATGAACTGTAGCTTGGCCAGGTTTGGGCGATGAGTGTCAATTGACCATGTTACTTCTTAATAATCAGGAATGTTTTGAAATTTTTGACCTTGATAGTGGCGATCTGCGTCTTGACGATATGAATGAGGATACTTGCCACGCGGCAATTTGGTGTAATTGCTTAACATCGTTGCCTTGTTAATGCTTACTCATTTTGTCCTATCACCGCACGCTAATATACTCTACTTAAGCGGCTGTATTCGGTGTCACAGCACGAACTGGCCCCGAGGAATACACGTACATATCTCAAAAATTATGATTGGTCAAATATATTTGAAGGGGCATTTATTTTTGCAGTAAGCCGTTACCCGTCCGCTCGACGGCATCTTAGCATTTCGAGATTCGTCTCCAGTCTCACGCAATATCTAATAGTGTCTACTTTAACATGTCTCCCAAAAGAGCCCATCGCGGAGAAGCTGGTATCTCGGAAAATGAAGTGCGAGCGCTACTTCTGGGAAAGGATGGAAACTTAACTCGCGACTTCGAGGCAGTCCTTACTCGTCTTTTCATCTCTTTCTTAGAAAAGCCGACGGACAAAAGCCTGACGCAGAATAGGCTTCGAGACTTCAGCAAAATTTGCAATGATGGTAAACCCTTCTCAGATGAGGAGATTACGGAGATCCAAACCTATTTTCAGTGTGATGAGAACAAGGGCCTGACTCTTAAGGGATTCAAGGACATGTATCACACACAGTCTAGCGCTGAGCCGTTGGAGACGTGGCGAGACATGAAGAAGCTTGGGTATGTTTTTCTTCTATCTTTATCAGTGCAATTCGCAGATGCTTCTTCTTACTGCTTTGCTGCTTTGTGCTGACGCAGCTTTAACGATGAGCTTATTAACAAGCGCGAGGCGTCTCAACGTTGTCGCGTGTGCAAAGCGCCTGCAGTGCTTGTGTGTTCGCGCTGCAAGAGAGTGCGTTACTGTGGCGCTGATTGCCAGAAACAAGACTGGAAGGGGTCGCACAAGCAGAAATGCAAACCGTCTGTTGTTTAGAATACGACTCCTCGATATCAAGCGCCCACACTACGAAGGCTGGTTGCTTCATGTACCAACAGGAAAAAAAATAGATCGAGTGATTCATAGGGAGAGCGAAATGGTGGTGGAGCAGTATGCAAGAAGGAGAGAGCTGTTGGAGGATTCGTTAGGATAGATGCAGTTAAGAATTTGTGTACGACCGAGAAACAAGATTAATTCAAATAGTGAACTTTGCATTTGTGACCAAATTGGAAGTCACTTCAATTTGCGCTTTCTTCATGTATTTAGCATAAAAGATGCAGCCGTACGTTTCAGAGCACATAATTTCGTTGCAAGGTGTAGAAATCTCGGAATCCCAAATCTTGTGTACCTGTAACTTTTACCAAATACAATACGGCACAAAACATTCGTAATCGCGAATATTCAAAAGTACAGAATTATCGGTATTTATAAAGATGATAGAACTCCGTAAAGTGGTACAAGGCCGCACATCAAACAATAAAGGGAATTCAATTATGTAATATAGTAAAACGTATATTTATGTCGTGTTTAGACTTGCTTCTACGTGGAATTTCAGTAGGTGCAGGGCAGCCTACTGACAAAGAGTCTGGCTCACTTAGTCGATATGACTCAGCTCTGAATAGTGAAAATTATCTAGAGAGGTAGAGCGTAGCCCATGTTTGCTGGTCGTTGAGCTCAAAATTCTGGGCTTTGTTTAGCCCTGATTGAACGTTATGCAGTTACTTAAGATGCGCGACTGCCAAAATCAGTAGATAGTATGCAAAGGCATTGAAGATGCCATCTACGGACATTATGAACATACCAAAGGGTCTGCAAGACCCTCTTTTGAAGTTTTAGAACATTACTAGCATGAGATCCTGTTTTTTTGTTTGGCTTGTAGTTGAGATATGATGTCATTTCGGGTATGGTGTGGCTGATTCACTACAAGCCATTGATCGACTGCAAGTCAAAGGAATAATACGACACGCGAAACTTGCCTAGTGAGCTTTGCAAGTCATAAACCAGGAAGCCAAAGCATTGTTGGTGTGGACACAAAGCAGCAATAAGTTCCAATGCAGAGCATAAAAATGTCTGAAAGTGATAGTAAAGGTGTTGGTTGATGTTTGCAGCAGAGCTCCGACGGCAAAATGAGTGATGAGCTCTGGTTTCTGGAAAATACAGAGAAAAAACCGTGTATCGCAGTCTTTTAGGCGTTTCTCTGCAAGAACAGGAACGATAGACTGTGTGGTCGCCATAAAATTGAATCTAGTGGAACGGCTAATGGCAGCTGTAAGGTGGTGCCTTCTGTACCAGAATCGACGTAGAAGACAAGCGACTATTCGCCGCGGTCTCCTGTAGATACGGGTGACGGTAAATTCTATCTGTAATGACCAGGCCCTATGGTCGGAGAATAACTCAGCCTTGTCATGATGCAGGGTACTGCTGAGTCAGTACTATCGTGTGCCGCGCTAACTCTGCGGGGCAGTGTATACATTCAGGGCTGCGGTGAAAAAGAGTATTCTTCGGGGATGAAATAAACTTTTTAGTCTGAGGGGTTTTTTAAATCTATCTCCTTAACTATCGATACGAGATTTCTTTGGACCGAATAATCATTCTTAGGTGATGTTTGCAATTAATTGTAAGGCGGCGAAAGAACAAAAATGTTATTGTGTTAGCTGATCTGATCATCGGTCATGGTTTTGCTAGTCATCAAGAACACTCTCAGAGCATGGATTGCGAGGTAGACTAGGTAACATCGAGGATCTTACGCATTCTTGATATTCTTCGTTGTCAAATTTCACGCTGCGGTGGCATGACAGCTATCATGCGTATTGCCTCAGGTCGAAGAGTGCGTCATTAAATTGACTTGGTCCCCTGAACTCTAACGGGAATCGTCCGTCCGTGTACACATACTTGCTGAGGATGGCTTAGGCCAACTGATACGCCTCATCGCGTGTTGCTCACTTCCAGCGGGCCTTTGACTTAAGTAAAGATGAAAAAGATGATGCGATATTTATTATATAACCAATAGGCTTTTTACCTCCCTAACCTGAAAAGTATATCCACATCTAGAACTTGAAGAGGTTATGAAACTATACAGGGTGTACAATAAATGTTAGACAAGCAAAGTATGTGGTCCACAGAACACTTGTGCATGACCCAGTACACCAAACCACACTCAAAATTGAGGTTACCAAAATTCTTCAACTTTACTTCAACACTTAATATTTTTCCGCTCTTGATATCGTTCGAACCAACTCGTTAGATTGCAACCCACACGCATGCTCCACATGAAATGTCTGTCACCATCAAACTTGGATAATGTTCCGATACCACGTCATTCGATGCATTTGCACTATCCTGAACTTGATCTCTATGATGACTTTCACGATAGACGTGGTGGTTCCGACCTAGAGTTTGACGAACTTTTTAGTCAAATCAGTGCTAGACTGATGAAGCGAATCGTGTATTTTCGCTTCATCTGCAGATCATTCGTGCTGGAGGTGCAACACGTAGCCTCACGTATCTGACATACGTCCAGCAATCCATTCTGGATTCTATCCGGACAATCGACACTCGGGACATGGGTTCATGCGACCATTCCCGTGTATATTCACCGTTTGCAAATCCCGAGCACCGTTGCAGACTTGCTGAAGGTACACGATGTGCGCTTTCGGTTTGCGCAATTGACAGCGCAGATTCGAGTTCACCCCGATATCAAGGATACTCGTGAAGTACGATCGGTCATCAGTCAAATTCACGACGAGGACAGCTTCTCTGAGCGAAGTCCGTCTCCAGACCCGCATCGACGCGAACGATACTGGGAGAGTCGCGAAGAATACAAGTACCAGGCCCCACGTGTTCTCACTTGCTGTATATAAGATATATCACCAACAGCTCCCTCCGACCGCGGATATTTCTCTCCGCCATCACGTTCTCGGCGTTGTGGATGTCGATCTAGAAGAGACGGAGGTGCCCGGACC